GTCGTGGTCCTGGATTGATCCCTCATGGTGTCATTTCACATGTCACACTATCCTCCATTTCCTGCAAACTGGTCTTTAGGTCCAGAAGGTTGATCTGATGTAGGACCAGTGATTTTGGCAAACAGACTCCCTGGGTGGTGCTGTGTCCTGAGCATCACATGAGTGATACTAAGAATCATGGATGGGTTCTGGTGCCGCCTGCCTGATCCCTCTGTTGTAAGTCCACTATCCCCTTGCCCTCAGTGGTGTTAGAACCGTTTGTAGACTCTTAAAACACTGACAGAGCTGGCAGAGACCTGAGAAGCCCATTCACTCATTTTTCTATTCATCCCTCAAATGTGTATTATTGAGCACCTACTATGTTAGGTCATGAGCTGACAGAAGGGGCAGGATCCTGGGGTCACGGAGCCAAGAGTCAGGTGAGGGGAGACGACAAGCACATCCCTGAGAGGCATGTCTGTGAGGGTGAGGGGCATGCAGAGACTTCCCGCAAGGGGCAGTGATTGACAGCCACTGGGTGACTGCTGTGTAGTGGGGGGTTTAAGGAGCTCCCTAGGAGGGGACACCGGAGCTTGACAAGAATAAGCCAGCCATGCAGCAATGGATGGTGCCCTCCAGGGAGAAGGAAGAGCTGGTGCCAGCCGAGAACTTGGCACCTGCTGGGGAAATGCAAGGAAGCCATGGTGCCTGAGCCAGAGAGCAGTGGGGGGAGGTGGGGTGCTGTGATAACAGACCAGTTGGGGGTGATGGCCAACCCAGCACCGCTGCTGCCCCCTCCTCAGCTGAGAACTTGAGCACAGAGAGGGCAGGGAGATGGGATTTACTGAGCAGCTCCCCCGACTCAGGAGCCTGCTGTGCAGGATTTCAAAGCCTCACGCAATGCTACTTGGGAGTTACTGCACCCACTTTACAGATGAGGGTAGTGAGCAATGAAGTCACCTGCCTCAAGGCAGAGTGGGCAGGAGGATGAAGCCAGGCATGCTGAGGCTCTCCGACACTTCAAGGTCATCCCACAGTGAGATGACCCCTGCAGAGCCAGGCTGCCTCAAACCTTGGCTCTGGCACCTAGAAGGCCT